CACTATTGAGTGTAGACAGGCCAAAGTGAATTGATATTTTAGTTCTTCATAGGCTCATGGTGCCAGGGTTAGGGAAGAGAGGATATTTTCCCCCTGTCCTTCTGGGTTCTTCTTAGGCTGATTGAGAAAATTAACATTAGAGCAGTTAGTAGGAGAAAAGTGCGCTGAGAAAATGTATAAGAAATTACTGAGTGAAATGCTGTCTAGCTGCTGGGTTGGAGGAAAAACCATATCTCTATCTTCTGGATTTTCTAGACTAGCCAAGGAGACTACAGTCTAATATTTTCCTTGGTTATCAATTTATTGCTTAGTCAAGACTTTAGAATATTGCATTAATGAAAAGTAACACAAAGTCTGAGACTTATCAACTACTTACCCTTTGAACTTCTATAATAGTTCCTGTATTCTTCTTAAAGATAACTCCCCAGAAGAGGGAGGAAAGGAATTAGTGCAAAGTTCAGAATGACAGCAGAGATACAGTAATTGCAAACAACATCATCATGCTTTGAACAAGATATTGGGTCCTTCACCTGCAGTGACTTTTTTTCTTTTGAAATAGACTTGACTGAAGTAGCTGGCTTAGCTGATGGCAGAAAAATCATGAACTATAAGAGTTTCATAAGATTGTGATATGACTCAGTATATATAGCCCATTATAAAATCAATGGCAAAACAACTGTAGATCCAAAATAATTTATACTTTGCTTTTAGAATGCAATAAACTATTTTCAGTCTCTGCAGATTTAAGACCTTGTCAGAGAGGACCTACCCTTCATCCTGAGTTTGTAGAGCAATTAAATTAGCATCAGGAAAATAGGAGAACATAACAAATTTAATTAAAATACATTGGGGATTGTACAGAGATGTGGATTCCAAAGTCAATGAGACAAAATGGGGATTACATTTCCTAAACTAAGGAATAGGGTGGGGCCTGAGGCTTCAAGTGTGGGGGAGGGTCTCCTGGTGACACCTGTGATCAAGGCTAGAAGCTCTGTAATTAGATGTTTGCCTACCCTATAGGTAGCCTTCTCTGATAAAAATGTTATTCCTAGTGAAATACTACTTCTGGGTAATAACCCAGATTTCATTCAATTACATAATTAGGGAAATGGTTAAAATTTCTATGAGACTGCAGATCTTTGACCTCAGCTCAAAATAATCCACATGCCAAAGTGACATATCTTAGGAATGCCTGTTGTCAACATTTTAGAGAGTCATTTTCTAAAGATGTTGGAGATTTGTTCTAAACATCTTGGGAAGACCTAATTTTCAGTCCAAATTATTGACTATTTAGTTTTGATGATGACTTCAACTGTTTCCATTTCATGTGCTCTGACCAACTGAACATGGGAAGAAAGATGGTTAGAGGCACACTATAGAACTAAGAAAATCACTGCAGTCTTCAGAAATTTGCTCCAGATGGCCTATCGGAAAGATAAGTCTTAACATGGAAATTCAACAGTGAATATATAAAAACCAGTTTATACCAAATAGTTTCTTTTTATTAAAAAGTTTATTTTTACATCATTTTGCACATTTTTTTTCCAAATAGTTTTTAAAAAAAGATTTATTTACTTATGCATACAAGAAGTGGGGTACAGGTCAGAGGTTTGGGGGGTGAGTGGATTCACCAGAGACAGACTGGGAGCTGAACTGAAACACACTGCTGAGGGGAACAGGAGACATGTCAGGAGAGTCTGCTGCGCCATGTGGGGATTCCTGGGAATTGAACTTGCTCTGTAACAGCTGCAGATTGCTTCATAGTGATGCACCACCAGGAGGGTCTCCAAACAAACTGTTCTTCAAGCAAAAGGGTGACAATGGTAAAAATCTCCAAGGTTTGTTTTACTGATAAAGGTAAGGAAGAAGTCATGTTTTTGAGACTTCTTAGATAGTATAAGGATTGAGTAGGGTGGGGAGTGAAGGATGAGGGAGATCATGGAAGACATTTATCCACTCCTGCATAAAACATGAACATTATATATGAGTTACAGGGCTGGACTCTGTACAAATATGAAATAGACATGGTTCTTGTCCTCAAGGCACATACAGTCTAGTGGGGGAAACAGAAAGGACAAAGAGATTTAGGGTATACAGGCTAAATGAATAGGACATTCTGGGCAGGGTCAATTAACTTGTACCCGGCAAGTCAAAGTAGGGTTCCTGGAAGAATTCCATAAAGCTTAGATTTGAGGAATGAGAAACACCAAAGAAGAGAAGAGTGGAGCTAAGGGCGGAAAAAACATGGCTTCAAATTTCAGAGGCAAGAGAAAGCAGGCATGGACTATTTAAAGAAAGAAAATAATCAAAATAGAGGTGAAGGGTTGGGGGATAGGGTTGGAAAAAGAAGTAAGAATCTGGTTAAGAAGCTGAGCTTTAGAGACCCTTTCATAAAGATGACACCAAAAGCAAAGAAGCCCCTAACCCTCCAAAAGCTGAAGCTAGGGCCCTCCCTGGTGGCAGAGTGGCTCAAAGCGAAGCACTGCTGAGCCACTTTGGCAGGATTTCGATCCCCAGCCAGGGAACTGAACCACATGGCACAGCAGACCTTTCTCACCCACCTGCTGTTCCCCTCAGCAGTGTACTTCCTCAGTCAGCCTGTTTTGGTCCTCACTCTGTCTCTAGTAAATCCCTCACTGTCCCCCTGCACCCCTGACCTGTACCCCAGTTCTGTATGCATAAATAAATAAATCTTTAAGAAAAACAAAAAACAAAAGCTGAAGCCAAAACAGAAGCTTTGAAGGCCAGGAATGCAGTGCTAAGATGCGCACCTATCTTCCAAATGGCCCAAGACACTGTCGCCCCAAAGGCAGCCCACATGGCCCTGAAAAGCACCCCCAGGAGAACTAAGCTTGACCACTATAACATCAAGTCACCTCTGACCATTGAGTCCACAATGATGATAGAAGACAACACACTTACGCCCATACTGAAGAGTAAAAAGAGCTTGTTTATAGAAGATTTAGCTTACCTTTTAAGAGAGGAACGAGAAAAGTCCGCAGGCAGTATCAGGAAAATTCAGGGATGAGAACTTCCCAGAGGAAGAAGGGACCAACAATGTTCAATGCTATTGAGAACCAAATATAAACAGACAAATTCAAACTGAGGGACACTTGACAACACAAAGTAATTGAACTGTACTTTCTACATTGTCAGCACCAAGAAATACAAAGAAAGACTAAGAAACTTGGATTAAAGGAGACACATGAAAACTGGTAAGGCAATGCATGATCTGGATTTTTTTTTTTTGCTCTATCTTTTATAAATTTTAATGATAATCAACATAATAATCCAAATTATTTCATTCAATTTTATTTAAGTTTGTCATTTTCTAGACAAAACTAGGTGGCAAACTAAATCAGAGATATACAGCAGGGGAGGAGGAAGCAGAGGGGTCGAAACAGGAGAGAAGAGCACAAGAGACTATGGTGAAGGTTCACAGATAACTGGTGGTGGAACTTTTATAGGGATTACACCTGAGGGGAGAAATCAAACATTGTACAAAAATCAACGATGATGTAAAATAAATAAATAAATGTATTTAAAAAATTTTTGGCTTTGTTTTCTGAAAATAGGAAAATAATATAATCTCAGGCTTTCTGTCTTCATAATCTATCATGTCACTTTGGAAGAACGTTTTTATGATATACATTACATAAAAAAAGGTAAAAATCAAAATTCTACTCATTGATTACCAATGCAAAAAGCTAGACAAGAAAATGAAATGTGATGGAAAGTGAATTTTGTCAGGGTATCATTTAATGAGGTTAAAACCTAAGTTCCCACCTCTTAAACCAGCAGAAGGTTTTGGGAAGCTCCAACAGATAAAGGGAATTGAAAAGATTGGTATGGAAAGTAGCCCATAAAACCCATTATTTTGACCCTGAATAGAGAAGCAGAGCCAGGACACATTCTGTGTCAGAGATCGACAGCCAACTCCAGATACCTCAGCACTAATTGGCCCAAACTGACACTCCAGTCAAGAAAAGCTCTAGGTTATAAAAGGGACCCCCAAATCCTTCTTCACAAGCAGACTTTCCTGTCTTGCCTGCTCTTTTTCTAGGCAGTGTATTTCAATAAATCCCTTATTTTCTGTTCTCCACTGTGTCTCTGGTGAATTCTCTCACCTCCATGCCATCAGCCTCAACCTGATCGTCTCCTCACAAATTTTATTTCTAATTATATCTTTAAAGTTACCTTCAAACGCTCATTACATTTCTCATGGGGTCTTAAGTTCACAGTACCTGACATGTAGTTGGTCAAACTTCAGTTAGTGCTACTTAAAATAGTCATCTCAGTTGCAGGACTTCTAATTTATGGGGGTCCTAACCCAATGTAGACATCCACATAAGACTGTGAGTGCTCAAGACTGTCATGAAGATGGCAAAATAGAACAGTATCCTCGATGGTCCTGCAATTTCTGCAATTGTACATCCAAATGTAGGAGACATATTAAAATATTTTCAGGGCCCTCCCTGGTGGTGCAATGGGCTAAAGCACCGCATTATGAAGCTTTCCAAAGCCACTGCAGCTGCAACTTCAATGCCCGGGAGGGAGCTGACCCACATGGCACGACAGACCTCTCCTGACGGGCCTGCTGCTACCGTCAGCAGTGTACCTCAGTTGATCTGCCTGTTCTGCTTCCCACTCTATCTCTAGTGAATCCTCTCACCCACCACACCTCTGGCCTGTACCCAGGTCTGTAAGCATAAATCAATCAATCTTTAAAGAAATAATAATAGCCTTTCCTAATTTCTCTCCACTTCTTTTGCGCCACTTTTGTACACATTGAAATTAAAGTTTGTTTTCCTGTCTTCTCTGTGTACACCAAGCTCATTATCAATAACCCTCTCCTAATATTTGCTCAAATTAATCATATACTGAAAGCATCAATGGCTGGGTAAATGCCCTTAGTCAAGATGGCTGCTGTTGCCTTTTAGTGTCCTTGCTTGACCATAACAAAGATGGTTCCTAAGACTTCCTTCTAGCCTCACTTTTCCCATAACAATTATGGAGCCTCTACTTCCGGGTTCCAGGTATTCCCTGCTGTGGGGCGGTGAGTGTAATTGGAACGGTTTACTTTTCTTCATCAGTTGTCCTTATTAAGTTAGAATTGTTTTGGGGCTGGGAGTAGCTGAGAGTTTTCGGCCGCAAACCATTCTTTCACAATTAGGAAGTTTTGGCGGCATACGTGCATTTTCCTTGCCCTTCCCCTCCTCCACTCCATCTGGCCCGTGTAGCCCCGAATTTGCTTGCGATGTGTCTGACAGAGCTTCCGGCCTTTTATCTGATTGTCAGTCTCGGTTTCCCTTATTAAGCCTGGAGGGTAAATAAAGTTATTAGAAGCACTTATTTGGCGGCACAGAGACAAGCCCATCATTTGCTGTTACACTTAAAAAAAAAAAACCAAAACTTTCTTGTGACTTAATTCACGAAATTTGCCTATTTAAAGTGTAAAATTCAGTGGCCTTTCATATCAGAACTGTGTATCCATTATTACAACCTAATTGTAGAAGAACATTTTATCACCTCAAAGAAAATCCCTGTATCCATTAGCAATTACCATGTTCCAGGATTTTGCTGTCCGGGGCCAGTCTTCCTGTTATTAGTTTGGACAGTGATATAAATGGAATCATAAAATACATCATCTTTTTTATCTAGTGTTAGAAGGTAAACGGATATATTAAATTTTTAAAGAGTTTGAGGAAAACTTGATTGGAATTGGGCAGTACCCAGTCTTGCAGATAGAAAGGAGCTGGGGGGAGCAATACAAAATGAAAGACAGGCAGAAGGGAGAAGAACAGGAAGCTACACTAAGCAAAATGTCGTTGGGTATTGCAGGTTTACTTTCCTGTAGCGATGTCAGGGCTCTGTCAGGCAGATAACTTACCTAGTGCTTTTCAGCCAAGTTCTGATTGATTGGTTTAATGTTCCATTTTTGGGGAGAGCTGAAACTAAGTCTCGTTTTGATGATGAGTAAGTGACTCCATTTGGGCCTGTTGCTTCATTTTTTAACACTAGCTTCTTTTTTTTAGGATACTGTTTTCCAAGTTTGACTTGCTTGTAGCTGCATCAGAACTTCATTCCTTTTTTGCTGAAAAATATTCCAGGTATGACTATATCTCATTTTATTCATCCTTTCATCAGCTGATGGACATTTGGGTTGTTTCTTTCCATTTTTTTTGTCTGTTGTAAATTAAGCTGATCAGAGCATTGGTGTAAAGCTTTTGTGGACATAATGCATTTATTTCTCTTGAGCATAAACCTAGCTGTGGAATTGCCAGGTCAAAGTAACTCTTTTGAGGAACTGCTGTTTCCCTGTAGTGCTGCGTTATTTCACCTTTTTTTATACGTGTGTTCATTTCATAGGTGTTCATAGGTGTTGAAAAGAATAGCTGTTCCCCATAGAATTATCTTCACACCCTGTGGAAAATCAGTTGATCAAAAATGTTCTAGACTCAGTTCTACCACACTAACCTATATGTCTTCCTTGTAGTACTAGTTTTGATTATTGTGGTTTTTTAGGAAGTTTTGAAATTGGAAAGTCCTTGTAATTTTGCAAGACTGTTTTGGCTATTCTGGGTTCCTTACAATTTCATATGAATTTTTGAAACAGTTTTGTTATATATCTTTTTTTTTTAAAGCCAAGTGAGTTTTTATTATAAGAATGGCATTGAGCTGTAGAGTGATTTGAGCAATATTGCCATCTTAAAAAAAAAGTCTTTTTATTTCATGAATATAGCATCAAAACAAGAAAATAGTAATAATAATAATACATTTAATAAAAAATATATAAGCCATTGTACAATGAAAATCACAAAAAAATGTCAAAAGAAACTAAAAATTTTTTTTTCTAAAGATTTATTTTTTTATGCTTACAGAACTGGGGTACAGGCCAGAGGTGGGGGGGGGTGGTGATAGGCTTCACCAGAGACAGAGTGGGGAGCAGAACAGGCAGTTCTACTGAAATACACTGCTGAGGGGAGCAGCAGACAGGTCAGGAGAGGTCTGCCACGCCATGTGGGTCAGCTCCCTGGCCCGGAATCTAATTTGTGCTGCTGTGGCTTTGGAGAGCTTCATAATGCGGTGCTTTAACCTGTTGCGCCACCAGGGAGAGCCCAGAAACTAAAAAATTTAATGCTTAGAAAGACATCCATGTTTGTGAAAACATGACAGTCAAGAAGTGTAAAGGGGTTATGTGATAAACATCCCAGGACTCATTTGACTGGGCTGCCCATGTCGGGTTGCTACAAATGCACGAGTCTGTCTGCATTGTTCAGTAACTCTAATGTCCCACTCATGGAGAGAGGGTAATCAGCTGAGTACATCTAGGCTTGGGTTTTTCCAGAGGGCTGTGATGAAGAGTCCGGACAGGCAGGGAAGGGAAGTTTAAGATGTTAACGAGACTGCGGAATAGATGGGATGAAAGAAGCAAGTTGGCTACTAGATGGGAAAGAGAGGGACAGTGTACTGGAGGTAGGCTGGGGAGAGAGGAGCCTGCAGCTTGTTTTTGTTTTATTTTTATATTTATGCATATGGAAATGGGTTACAGGTCAGATGTGCAGGAGCAGTGAGAAGATTCACCAGAAACAGAGTGGGGAGCAGAGCAGGCAGACTGACAAAGTATACCGCTGAGGGGAGCAGTGGGTGAGATAGGAGATGTCTGCTGCGCCATGTGGGTCACCCCCTTGCAGGGATCAAACTTGCACTGAAGCGGCCATGGCTTGGCTTAGCTTCACAGTGCAGCGCTCCAACTTACTGTGCCACCAGGGAGGGCCCACAATTTGGTTTTTATTTATTTATTTATTTTAAAGATTTATTTATTTATGCATATAGAACTGGGGTATAGGCCAGAGGTGCAGGGGGGTGAGAGGATTTACCAGAGACAAAGTGAGGAGCAGAACAGGCAGATTGACGAAGCACACTGCTGAGGGGAGCAGCGGGCTTGTCAGGAGAGGTCTGCTGCACCATGTGGGTCATCTCCGGGATGGGGATCGAACTCATGCTGAAGTAGCTTTAGCTTCTCAGTGCTGTGCTTCAACCCACTGCACCACCAGAGTGGGCCCTGGATAGTTTTGTAATAAAGAAAATTATGATGAAATATCAATGCCAACTTTCGGCAGTCATTTAATGGATGGATACTTCTGCCCTCTTTTATTTTTTGGAAATTTTCATATAAAACATTAGAAGACCTCAACTGAAAAAAAGTAAATGAGTCTTATATTTTGGACCTGGAAGAAACTGTAGACTAATAGAACAAATGCCTCCTCTCAATAGACAGACTTTTATGTAGTGAGAGACTTCTTGTGCTGTCATCCCAGAGCATCTTATACTCTCTGGTATTCACAGAGAACGCTTGGATTCTGTAATTAACATAGTTTTAAGAGAGGCATTAGATTCTTGTGAAGAAGGAAGTTGAACTAACAGTTTTGGGGTAAAGGATAATCATTGCATTTTGCCTGCCAGCCTGCATGATTTCAGACAAATACAGAGGGCCTCATCTCTCCTTATCGCTTGTTTTCTCCTGTATAAATTCACTGAGTCAGAATTATGTGTCTTGAGGCACACTTAAGTTAAAATTAAAAAAAGAAAATTGTCTCTCTGTAGGCATATTTCTTCCTCTCTTTTGGTTGAATGCCCAGTTTGGAATGTATTTGACATTTAATACAGATGATTGAAAAAGAAAGGAGTCGGCACATCAATGTGCTATTTGTTTTCAGAAAGGATTCTTTTCATTTCAAATTTCTAGTAATCCCGGTTGACAGATGATTTCATAGCACCTCTGCTGGCATGCAGCATATGCCCGTGACATTCACTGACCTGTGTGTTCCCTTCCAGAAACCTCCAGAACTGTGTTTGGTAACACGAAGGGGGTGGGGGAGGAGGAGCTGAGATGCCTGCTGCAGAGGTGTTGCTGAAACTTCAGGCCTGGTTGGCTAATGCAGCGCTGTGAAAAGACAGGATGTTCTTGTTTCTTTGGGGAACCTTGATCACTTTTCTCCTCTCAGGAGTCATCAGCTGATGTCTTGGCTCACTCTCTGCCCGAGCAAATGTCCACACCAGCATGTGATCGACAGCTTGTTCTCAAACAAGAAAAACTTGGCCTGGCCTGTGGGCTGTATGGTTGTTCTACAGCTTCTATCTTTGCCTGTTTGGTGGTAGCTCAGCTTGCAGCCAGGAGCCTGTGCACACCCAGGAGTCCCTGGCTTGCGACTTCCTAGGTAGCTTTGCTTGGGCAGGCTGCCCTACTTCTCTCTGTGTCCAGGCCCGAGTGTGACGGTACAAGGGGGCAGTAACAGGATTACCTGCTTCACGGGGCTGTGCTGTGAAGCTTTTAGGTCAAGCCTGCCATTCAGCAAGCACTTTGGTTGTTATCCCGAAATTGCCTCTTTCATCCAAACACACTTCTTTGAGCTCTTTCCATTTCTGATGGCCATTTTAGCAGTTGCATAGCTCCATAATTTGCAATACCACCTCCTCCCAAACCTATTCCTTCTCTTCCTGTCTTCTCTATCTTTAGTTGACAGTACAACCCATCACCAAAGCTGCTACTCCTTACTGACTCTCAGTTCCTCTTTAATACCTTTATCCACTCAGTTATCGAGTTCTACTCTCACTTTTGATCCTAAATATGCCCTTAATCTGCTCCTTGCCTTGACCTGTAGTTTCTCCTCTCACTTGAATGCTCTTCCTCACTCCTGATCCACTGCAGGTGAATGAATTTCTGTGACCTCTGCGTTTGCTTGCCACCCAGACTTTGGCCCTGTAAACATGCCAGCTATCCAGCTGCCCCATCTGCAGATCTAACCACGAAACTCGTGTGCATCAGGCATGGCGGTCCCTGGCACTCAGCACCCGTGGTGCTGGCTGTGATAAGATTTCTTAGTGACTGCAGCCTGTGAGGCCAAGGTTAACAGACAGCATCTTCCCAGGCCTGAAGGTATTTTTTTTTTTTTTTAGATTTATTTATTTATGCATACAGAGCTGGGGTACAGGCCAGAGGCTCGGGGCGGTGAGAGGCTTCACCAGAGACAGTGTGGGGAGCAGTACAGGCAGATCGACGAAGTACACTGCTGAGGGGAGCAGCGGGCGGGTCAGGAGAGGTCTGCCGTGCCATGTGGTCACCTCCGGGGCAGGCGGGAATCGAACTCATGCGGAAGTGGCTTTAGCTTCTCAGTGCAGTGCTTTAACCCGCTGCGCCACCAGGGAGGGTGGCCTGAAGGTATTTTGTGGAGAAGTTGGCAGGGTTGGGCACAGTGCAGAGCCCTCCAGTGAGAGCCCTGCACCCACAGGTTGACGTGGGCCCAAGCAGTCTAGGGAAAACCCACTTCTTCTTTTTTATTTTTTTTATTACAAAAGTTTATCTTTACATCATTTTGTACATTTTTTTCCCCCATCTCGATTGTAATCCCCGCAGGTTTCCCATCACCAAATCACTTCTTCTTTTTTAAAACATATTTATTTTATTTTACATCATTCTTCATTTTGTGCATTTTTTTTCCATCTCAGTTGTAATCCCCGTGGACTTCCCACCACTTCTTAAGAAATGTTCAAATGTTGATCCCAATGCATCACCTTGCAGTCTGTAGAGCTCAGCTAGAGAATTTGTATCTCCAGGTTGCTGACATCTGCCAGGCCTTGGTGGCCTAGAGTTAGTACAAGAAGGGGAGGGTGCCCTATAGCCAGGTGGCTGAGCTCACAGTGTTCGTCCTCTTTAGTAACTCAGTGTGTTACTGTACCTGGACTCTCAGTTGAAATTCCTGACACCCCTTGCCACTCTGGTTTGCTGTTCTGGTGTTCCTGCTCACTCCCAGCCATGGTCTAGTCTGCCTCTGCAGGGATAACCTCCTCCAGAAAGCCTACTGCCCCTTTCTGGGTTCTGGGTCTTGATGCATTCATATCATGTTGACGTGGTATGTGTTTGTGTTTGGGTCACCCCAAACTGAGCTTCTGAAAGGAGATCCATCATACTCACCTTTGTGTTCTCTAGGTATGGTTCGTTAGGTAGTTGGCTGAATATGTGCTTGAGCAGACCACATGGGAAAATGCAAATTACATGTCATCTCACTGCCCAGAAATTAAACCGCTTAATGAATTCATCACTGAAGTTAATTTGGGATATCCTCTTCCAGGCTTGTTTTTTTCTATCTGTACATCTATATATTTCATACTCACATATTTTGTACATGATATTTTCTTTTATAAAATCTGGATGAAATCCTACCTGTGGTTTAAAATATGAGTAGTTTCTCTTCTCATTAAACATTCTTGTACCTCTGGAATTATAGTACTGAACAGTTTTCATCCTTATCAGCCATGCAGCTTAAAGTCCTGAAATTGTTCATGGTTCCTGTGCCAAGAGTATTTGTTTTTCATCATGAAGAAAAGTTGGCAAATAAATACTGAGACTGACGTCAAGACAAAGGAGACCATGAGAAATGGTTAGGGAAATATTTCTGCTTCTCTTGTAGTTTGAAGATACTGAATTTTGCTGCTTCAAGTCCTGGCTTCAAGGACCCTCTGACACAAAGCCTTTTGTGTTGAGTTGTTTTATTTTTCCATGGCAGGACTATGGCTGCCCAGGAAGCCCCTCGAGACAGCCAGCCAGAGGAGAGCACAACTTTGGACTTGCCGTCAGCTTATGACATAAGAGATTATGTGCTGCAGGGACCCAGCCAGGATGGCAGCAGCAGGGCTTTTAGTTCTGTAGAATCCTTTTCTTTGCCCTGTTCTTCTGATGTGGATCCAGGTAAGCAGCAGAGTTGAAAACAAGCTAACATGAAAGCAGAAATAACCCAACCTACACAGGTAGTTGAAGTTTGTTTCCCCTGTCTTCCAATAGCAGATGTCTGAGGAGTGATTTATTGTTTTGGGTAGAAAAATATCTTATTTAAGAAAGCTTGGGAAGATACTTCAAAGGACAGCTTTCCTGGGATAAACATGACAAGATGCTGTTCCAAGAGGCCCTGCTTTGTCTGAGTCTCTTTCTGATCTTCATCCAAATTCTTTCAGAGGCAGGGGAACACTTGATTCAGCTAGGGGAGAATGGAATTGTATTTTTTGTTTGTTTGTTTTGTTCTTTTACAATTTAAGAAAATAGTAATGTGGGCTGTTATGTGTTACAGGTAATAATAGTAGAGACCCTAGTATTCCTTTTATGAAGTGTGCTCTGGACAAAGTTAGCAACTTCTCAGTAAGTTTTCCTGGCTGGGTTGCCAAAAAGCCTATTTATTTAATAATGGTTCATTGCCATCATGAGTGACCACCTCTGGTTATAAAGCCCATCCTTTACCCACTGATACAATACAGGCCTGGAAGTCCATACTCCTAGATCAAAGTTCAACTCTACCTCTTACCAGCTATGTGGTTTGGCACATATTTCTTAACTTCCCTAAAATCCAGAATCATCTACAAAGTGGCAATCAGAATGCTTGCCTAATGGACTTAATGTTTAACCTCGGGAACAATTCAAAATACCTGGTGTTTGCTGTTTATAGATGCTGGGTTAGCTGGGGCAATTTTTATTAATGTTGTGTCTTTATTATTGTTGTTATTAACATAAAGACACCAAAATATGTATTTTTAAGGAGGATTTATTGGGGTACTAAATGTTTTCCTTAAGCATGAATGTACTGTTGACAGTAAGTAGGGTGTGTAGCTGTCATTGTCTTCAAGGATCTGGGCAAACAGTGCTTTTAAACTTCATAGTGATTGTGTTCTGATTTCAGAATCAGATTGTCAGAATTGGCCAGCCTCCTATTTTTAAATCTTGCTCCCAAATTAGACCATTTCCTATTCTTTTCCTTTCTCAGATTAAAATACTAGTTCCTTTAACTTTTCCATCTTTCTCCATCCCATCCTGCTGCCTCTACATTACTTTCATCGCTAAAACTGAGTATTCTCTTCATTTCAGGTTATTATAGTATTTCTTGGGAAGAGTGAATGAGTGCAAATGAACAGTGCTTTAAAATATTGGTCTGTTGAAATATTTAGTCCAAGGGTTCTGATCTTCCAGGGAATTTAATGTTTATTTTTATTGTCTCTCGGGCGAAGAATCTATAAAACAAAACAAAACAAACTTATTAATTTGATGTGGTGGATGGTTCTAAAAGCAGGAAGCATGTTGACATTTATGCAGGAATATCTGTTTAAAATCTTGAAATGCAAAAAAGAGGTTATTTTGGAAGCGCTTGTAAAGGTCTAAACATGGAGAGGCACACTCACATGCTGACACAATCACTACGGTTGGTTTGGGTGGTGGGCGTGTGTCTGGTTTGGAGTCTGGCTTTGCCTTTCTCAGCAGTTGGGCCTTGGGCAGTATTGGCGGCATGTCATGTGTCCCTCCGCAACATGGATACGTCATGTGCACCCCACCTACATGTGAGTCACTTCAACCTGTGCCTTCAGAGTTCCAGTTCTTCTCACTTTTTCTTCACCTTTTCTCCCAGGTACACAGAGCCTCCATGTGTCACCCCTCAGTGTCTCTCAGAAAACCACCTGGAGCTTTCTGAGACTAATACACAAATGATTGTTGTAGCTTCAAGCGTTAGCTTTTCCAGGAAGGTCCTTGAGTGTTAGCTTTTCCAGGAAGAGTACCTATCCGTAACTTCAAAGATAGGCTTAACTCTAGGAGTCAAGGACAAGTAGAAAAGAGATATGGGGAATGTGCCTCCGATGTCCCTGAAAAGCATCCTGGTCATGGTTCCCACCCCACACATTCTGATAGGCCTCTTTCCCCCCATTCCTTTGTGTCCGGGCTCCTCTCGTGCCTACTCCCCGTGCTCACATCTGACTGTCCTCAGCAGCATAGTTAAAACTCTCACGCTGGTGTGCATACAGTACCGCAGCGTTCTGTGTATAGTCATTTTCTTTGGATAGCTTCATGCTGGAATGGTCTAGAAAATGCTAGTAATTATCACTCCCATGATGGAGGACTTGCTGCCTATCAGGCTCTCTGTTGCTGGGCTCCAGGCTAAGTGTTTCACAAACATTTTCCCATGTTCCTGCACACCTGTGAAGTGGAAATCAGTCCCGTTTTTATAAATGAGGAGCTGGTTAGGAAACTCTTTCAGTTAATAAATGGAAGAACAAGGGTGAATCCAAAGACATGTTTTAGACCACATTTTAATTGGAAAAAATGGTTTTTTTGTTTACCTGGGAAATAATCAAATGGATGATACCTGTGAGACACGGAATTGCTGCAAGTAAGTTAAGGCAAATTTGTTAACTTGGATAGAGATTTTAAGAAGGTGTCATTTTGGGAAAGAAGAACCAATTTTTGATATTATTTAGACTCAAATATTTTAAAACAATTTTGCTGTGCATTCTGCCATTCTATGTTATGCCATTTATCACTAAATTATTTATTAGAATTGTTATAAAAATGAACCAGATCACCCAGAACTTCCCAACAACTAAGTGAAATGATGTTTCCCAGACACTGTGAGACCACATGGAGGCAGCCATCCAGCTTAATTCTGCCATATCTTTTTTTTTTTTTTAAGATTTATTTATTTCATACAGAACTGGGGTACAGGCCAGAGGCTCAGGGGTGGCGAGAGGCTTCACTAGAGTGGGGAGCAGAACAGGCAGATCGACGAAGTACACTGCAGAGGGGAGCAGCGGGCGGGTCAGAAGAGGTCTGCCACACCATGTGGTCACCTCCGGGGCAGGGGCAGGCGGGGCTCGAACTCATGCAGAAGCGACTTTAGCTTTTCAGTACTGTGCTTTAACCCACTGTGCCACCAGGGAGGGCCAATTCCGCCATATCTTAATAGTTTTGCTTCACCACAGTAAAAGTGCTCAGGCTTATCCACCCCAAAGGAGACCTCAATCTGGTATCACGAACACAAGTTTCCCAGCATGAAGGCTGTATTGTAAACACTCGAGAGCAGCCTTTTGTGAGAAAGATGTTTTATAAAAGTAAGCTGTGGCAGTTTGTACCTGGTGATGAAGCATCACCGGACAATGAGCTTGAAGTGGTCAGTCCTCAACTCGGAGGGGATTCACTGCCCTAACAGCAAGCTCTAATTTGCTGTGTCTGACCATCTCCAGAGTCTGCAAATTGCTTAGGGACTGAGGTTTTCATTTACTTCGGAATCCATGTTCTTTCCCTTCAGTGTGTGTTCACTGGTAGTTGTGCATACAAGTTGTCTCCTCCACAGCTCTTCCTCAGACTTTTGCCCACATTTTAATGTAGTTCGCATAACTCTGGAACTGTTGTTTGCTCCAACACGTGGCCTAGCTTTACATTGGCCATGTTGGTGTCTGTTAGCTAGGATCTACCTCAGATTCTTAATGTATCCAGTTCTCAAGCCACCTTGCAGTCTTGATTTGCTTATTTGTTGTTGTGTGCTGGTAAGAAGCTGACCTTCTAGAGATTGGTGAATACAGTCCAAAGTTTTCCATTGAGTAGTCGTTTGTACTGCTCTGTACCCCCACTGGTCATCACTCCCGGTTGCTACAATCCCTTCACTGGTGCTTGGTTCAAACTACCATTGACAATCTCAAGAACTGGCAAAATAGAGTAGGTTGTGGGACCTCCCTGGTGGCACACTGGGTTAAAGCACAGCACTGTGAAGCTGGCCACAGCTGCTTGGTATGAGTTCAATCCCCGCCCTGGGGGTGATCCACATGGCACAGCAGACCTCTCCTGTCTTGCCCGCTGCTTCCCTCAGCAGTGTACTTCATGAATCTGCCTGTCCTGCTCCCAGCTCTGTCTCTGGTAAATCCTTTCACTGCCCCTGTGCCTCTGGCCTCTACCCCAGTACTGTATGTATAAATAAATAAATCTTTAAAAAAAATGAATATGACAGGTTGTTTACAGAGGAATGGGAGTCTAAGGGTGAATCCGAGACCTAGCTTCCCCATTTACTGGGTAAAATAGGAGCCAAGAATTGACCATGAGGATTTAGATCATCCCAGTTGTTAAAGCCTCCAGTAAAAATCCATACACATAGTGGGCAAGACACAATGGTGTCACACAATAGCCGACGGGTAGTGGGGCTGTCGCAGAGCACCCTTGTAACAGGTAATCCGCACAGAGTACTGGGAAATCCAGGCGGGTCGCAGGCAGTGTGCAGGTGTTTATCTCAGTGGGTAGCAAGCCCTATTATCAAGGTTGGAGTTACGGTCACAGTTCTAACTCCTGAAAAGGTAACAGGCAAGAGATGAGCGGCCTCAGTTCTGGGGGCAAAAGGGACTGCTGTAAAAGTCAGGTTATAAGGCCCTGGGCCCAGGCTGAAGTCTAACTTTTGTAAAGGATCCTCCACTCCACTTGCAGCTGCCTCTGGCTATGGCCTACAACGTGCGCTGCCTTCCAGCCAGGTTTTTTGAAGGGGTTGGCTACATTTCTTTCTTCTATTCCATCTCAAATTTGCTCCCCATTCCAGAACATGTGACCTCCACCCCCAGTGCTTGCTAAAGAAGCCTGCCCTTCCTCAGATGTCAGTGATCTCCTCCCAAGAGCTAACCCTGCCGGACACTTCTCAGCCTTATCTTGATGTCTAACTGCCATATCACTGTCGGTGCCCTGGAGGATATGTTCCTGGCAGTAGATGGGAGACTTAGGAGCATTTTCCAAGAAACTAATGGGTGGATAAGAATCAGAGAATATAGTCAGAAAACCTCAAAAGCCAGGGTCACGTCAGCCTGGATATCTAAAGGTAGGTGAGACCTCTCTGCCCTGAAGTGACCAGCTAACCATTTCTCATGAAGTGCTGATGGAACAAACAACTAAGCCAGGCACAG